CCAAAAAGTCCAGCAACAAAACTCCTTGGGCGTCCCAGAAAACTGTGAGGAGCACTTTACCTGCAGAGGGAGTTGTCTTGAACTTCTTTCGGACAGGCGATGACGGATGTTTCCACTAGATAGTCCATAGATGCGGCCTTCGATTCTGGCGTGAAATGGTGGACCCACGTTTCATCCCCCGTCACAATCCGAAACAGGAAGTCATTGCCATTTTCATGGTAACGCACGAGGTGTTCCAGGCTGACCCCCATGCGTTGTTCCTTGTGTGTCGAGGTCAATTGTCGGAGCACCCATCGTGCTGACACTTTTCTGTATCGAAGAATGTCGTGGATGATGTTTTGAGCTCGCTGATGTGAGATTCCAAGTTCTTCGGCTACTTCATCGATGGTGATACGCCGGTTCGCTCTAATCATGTCATCCACCTTCCTGACATTTGCATCTGTAGTGGCCGTGCGCGTCCGTCCAGCTCTCGGTATGTCCTCCACTTGCTGACGTCCATCACTGAATGTGCGACACCATCTCCGCACCATTTGCTTCGACATCACACCTGGCCCATAGACTTCCACGAGGCGGTTATGAATTTCTGTTCCTGATACTCCACGTGCCCATTCATAGCGGATAACCGCTCTCACTTCACGCACCTTCTCTCCATACCTACCGGGGCTCAAATGAGAGGCTGGTCTCCGCTTTGCGCAGGCACTGCAACAGCGCCATCTGCTTGATTTGCAGCGACCTCTACCCAATATTGTATCGGTGACTTGCGCGTTTTCCTGCTGTGTCGCCTTTCGCCCATAGTCGTTCAACGCTTCTTCCATATGCAAAGCGTGAATATTTCTTGGAGGACTTTTTGAAGCTTATCAAGCTATGTGACAAATGTCTCAACGTACTCGTACGAGAATAATAAAATAAAGGTCATATCATATGTCATATCTTTAATGTCTCATTCTATTTTTTGACTTTCATACACAACTCTGACCACAGTCGACAGGAACTTATTTTTCAACTTACCCTCGTATAATGTACTTGGATGCCCATAATTATTATTATGTATTTGAACATAGACTGCAGGTTTAACATCAGATAAAGGACTTCGGATTTGTATTAGGTGCATATTTTGCATAACTAACATAAACAAATTAATGAAAATAATGAAATATTAGAACAACGATGTATATATAAATCTAATACGTATCCTAAGTTACGCTTTAGAGACATGAAAATCGCAAGCTGAATTTCGTCAATCGGCCTAGTAGAATGGGAGATATAGAACTGTGCCATTTTTTTTTAACCTCAAAATCATATTTTCACGAATTTTGTATTTAGATAGCTAATTTTAGTAGAATTATATTTAAAATTGTTTTATTTCCCCGTGAAGTGCAGCGCGTGATAGATATTAAGAGAAAGCTACGACAAGAAAGTAAAAATATAAGAACACGTGCATTTAGTATTGAATAAATGGATATGTCTTTTATTTGTATTGAATTTGAATAATGAGATACATTCCGCAAGAGAAAAAGAGGAAGAATGATCTTGCTTGTTTGCATTAGCTGTACATAAGTCACGTGATATCTGAGGTCATCTGCATTGTTTGTTTACAAAAGGTAAAAATAAGTCACGTGATCAATGAAGTCATCGGAATGTATCTCATTGATTATCTGTATTGAAATTTAATAATTGTAATTGACTACTGTGTTAGCTGTAACCGTAATTCCATCCTCTAGTGGGTTTCCAGAAATCTCGAGAAGCAAAGAAATTACTAGAACTCTCTTGCGACCGACTGAAAGCTTTAAAAAGCCGGAGAGAGAAGTCTCAGCTTAGTTGTTTAGGTAGCTGCTGTTGTTATTCTTGATCGGATTAGCTTTCTCTGCTGTGGATTGCTGTCTATTTAAAGTTTTAGGGGTTTGAAGGATAACTACTGATTATTACTGCCCGATAGTGTGAACGGTTACGTGGTCAGAGCGGACGTGGTTGGAGCGGACAGTGGCTACAGCGGACACGTGAGGGTAACTGGGTGGGTTAGAGCGGACATTTTTGCACCTATTTTATTGTTTACCTAATTAGTCACATGTCACCTATTATGTACTTTCGAGCTTTGCACCTGCTGTAGAGATAAGCCGATATTTTAAGAGTAAAGGTTTTTCACGTTTTTTTGAGTGGATGTTTTATCCTTATGAAGTGTGTATGTCGTTTTATAGCCTCGAAAAAAAGTCTGTGATGGAAGCCCTATAGCCATTTCAACAAAATTACTCTCTACAAATAAAGGAAAAGGAATATTTAGTTGTAGATGATTAGCCATGCAGGTTTACACCGAAAATATAAATTAGGAATGAGCTGGGTATGTAAGACAGATCGTTGTAAAGCAGGAAGATGTCAAACTCATAGGTACACTTGGGCCAAACAAACAAGGTTTAACTTTAGGCCGGGCCCCCCAAAAAAATCAATATTCATAGAAACGTAGATTTATTTCGAATAATACAATAATAAACTTATTATATATATATTATATAGAAAAGAACAAGAAAAAATTTAATGTTTACGTCCTGATACTTGACATCTCTTCTCTGCTATTATCTTTCCTATTTCGGGAGAAATTTTGTTTGCAGTGATAACTTTCAACGCTGACCCAAGGTGAGCATCATTAATACGGTTTCTAATAGGAGACTTATCACCTTTCATGACTGAAAATAACTGCTCGCACCGATAAGTGCTATCAAACATGGAAATAATTTCATATGCGAATTTTCGAGTATTTTCAAACCTGGCTGGTAAATATTTGTAAAATTCAGGCACGCCCACTTCAATGAATTTTGCTTTCAAATTTGAGTTGCATTGAATATCGATCACCTCCATTTGCATATGGCTGGGTACTGAATACTTATGGAGAAAATCGAAGAATTAATAATTAAAGTATTATTAATAGTACATTAATAGTATTTATTATATCAAGCAGATTATTTTATCTTTTATTTCACAGCAAAAATATTCTAATTCCCATTTTACTTGGAATATTCTATGTTCGTCAGCGAGTTTTCGTTTAATTTTACTACCACTTGGTTTTGATATAGACATACTGAATACAAAGTGCTGGAATAAACACGGTTAACGTTAAAAAGCTAACAAAAATTTATTCTTTCCACAAGAGATAAATCAAAATGCTGAAATATTTCTTCAAAAATATTCTGACAATATCACAAAATGTCAAACGTTTAGCAAAAATCAATTCAAAACAGAGAAACTAATTCTATCTCACAGCGAAATCGCTACAAATCAATCACAGCATTAAGTAAAGAAACAGTTCGCTAGAACTACAGCTACTACTGAGATGAGTTGTTTGTTTTCGGCTTTTATAAGCTTTATAATTAATTTCTCGAATATACTGGAAACATCTATAAATATCTGGATTTTAACTATGAAATCCGTAACAATATGACTTAAGTAATAATTAATAATAAAGCAAAGTGCATGCACCAATATATCGTACAAAACTATGATTGGAAAACTGAGACCATGAGTTCGGCCACATTCGGCTATCGGGGGATGCGTACAAGTTCTGAGTGCACGTGTCCCCCCAAAAGCCGAAGGTAGCTGAACGCAAGCTACTCACACGCATTTGTAATTTAAGTAGTGTGTGTGTCAGCTCGCTGTGAGTAATCTAACAACACTGAATAAATTATCGTTAATTACTTAGCAGTAAACATTTCATTTTTTTCTTCATCGATATGTTATTTTATTATTATATATATTATTTGCCGATATATTGGCCGGGCCGCAAAAATATTTGTTGTGGGGCCGCGAGTTTGACATCCTTGTTGTAAAGAAAATGTAAAGACAAATTTTCAGATACGAAGTAGTACTGAAGAAAACTGGAACATTCCTGCGTGCCCAACATTACTGAGATGGAAGTTAAAAGGAAGTTAGATACTTGCAGAAAAAGAGTACGAGAGAAGAAACGTCAGTTCCCGTTCTCCAAGATATTTCAAGAAGAACTTTCAGAATTATATCAGAGAAGGTTATGATTTCGTTCACTAAAATACCGACATACTACAGTGCCAAGAGTAATTCCAGTGCCTTGTAATTCGATAATCGAATACGAAAACAGAAAACTTCGGTTAAAAAAAAAAAAGTTATCCCACTTGAAAGAGATTTGCCACTTAAAATACTGTTTAAATTATATTTAAGATTTTTAAAAATATTTATTTACTTATTTATCTGCACCCTTTATCTGTTCTTGGGGGAAAAAAATGTGTCCTCTCTAACCACGATGAGTTTCGTAGTGTCCGTTCTGACCACGAAATCGTTTGTGTTCGCTCTGACCACGTCCGCTGCAGCCACACCACCGTGTGAACACCTGTATGAATACCTCTGAGGAAAATTCCAGCATTTTGTTATATTTCTTGTCATAAGAATAAATTTTATTAACTTTTTATCCAACTTGCATCTATTAAGAGCTCGTACGCACGCTACAATATGTTGAGGGAAAATAATATTATTAGAATTTGAATTTAGCTTACTTGATGTTACAAACGATAAAAAATGGTTAAGTGGCGCACAAATGATTATTTTGCATTGAAAAGTGTAATATGTGGTGTTAGAAACAGCTTTTATGAATTACAGTAATAGTACAAATAGTCATTAAGAATTATTTGTGAGATATATTATAAATTACAGCAATCAAATCTATTATAAATAATATCAATTACATATGACATTCAAAAATAAAGATATAATTTATTAAGGAATACATTTATTGTTTCTAAATCAATCAATATGTTAAGCAATTACAGTTATGAGTGAAAAATCTTAGCTTGAATAGCAGTACTCGAGATTTGCTAAGGCGAATGGAAGACAAAAGTTCACATTTCGTGAAATTATTAGGTTGAACTGATGATAAATGCCCGGTAGTATAATGTTATTTGAAGTCACGGATCCAAAGCCTGGGAACTATACACTTTTCTAACGGCAAAATTAAATTTATTGGACAATAAAAAAAAAACACTCACTTGTTGCGTTGCTTGACAGTTTGCGACCTGTATTGATTGTCCAATAGAGCTGCTAGGATGGTAAGCTGCTCCAAGACCCTGAGAGTAAACTGAACCATACTGGAATCGCATTTGATGATGACCATGTCTAATGTACGGAACCTGTGGTGGTGGATAAAGTATCTGAAAGGGCCTAATGGGTCGAAATGTAGGCGGCGGCTCCGTGATTATAGGCGGGTATAGATATGGAAATGGATAGCCATTCGCTCGGAGTCGCTGCTGTCCCTCTTCAATAGATTTCTGGGGAATTTGTGCACTTAGGACTCCTTGATCAAGATTCGTGTGATAAGGAAATAATCTTTTTGTCCATTCTCCGTGTGCTTCAGGAAAGTACTTCTCGCAATTCACCATTCCATTTTCGGAAAGTCCTTCACCTGTGTCAGTTTTATATTAAAATGCTGTATATCGAAACTATATCTTTAAGCATGACTTTTTAACAAATAATATAAAAAGTGTTTATACCAGAAACAATTAGCAAATCATAAGGCATTGAAATTTTTCTAGGTATGAAATGCATGATTGTAGATGTTAAAAATTATATTGTTACAAAATGTACAGGCGCAATAAGATGACTTAACTGCAAAGCAGTTTTAGGGTTACCATAAAATGGCAAGGGAAGGCAGGGTTGCCACATTTTGCGAGAAATCGCCCATTCGGTGACAAAATTGACCCTAGAGCATGGACGGTTGGAGAACCTTCTGGAACGAGTTCTTACCGGTTTAGCCCAGAATGTTTCCGAACACAAGCCGAAAGCTATATAAATCCTGCTGGTTCGCAGTCAGTTAGTGTGTGTGTCTCTCATCGGGTGAGTATCATCGGGTGAGTGTGCCTCGTCGAGAGAGCCTCGTCTTAGAGTGCGAGATAATGTATCTCTCATCGAGAGTGAGTGTGTCTCTCGTCTAGCAAGTCAATCCCTGCAGAGTCGATCGAGTTGACAGCCAGGCAACGAGTGCCAAGTGGGTCGTCGAGTGCATCGAGGGAGTCTGTTAGTGCATTGTCGAGAGAGCGTGTTGAGCTCCGGGAACGACTGAACTGAAGAGTCAGGAGCCGTGCTCTGTGTGTCGTCGACTGCATCGCGAGTTGTAGCGTGGACTCCAAATCCACACGAAACCCGTACGAACGTCAGAAGAAATAACGCAACAACTGGTGTCAGAAAATTTGGCGATATGCCATGGACGGAGGGAGAACCTTCTGGAACGAATTCTTACCGGTTTAACCCAGAATGTTCTCGAAAACAAGCCGAAAGCTATATAAACCCTGCTGGTCCGCACTCATTCAGTGTGCGTCTCTCATCGAGTGAGTGTGTCTCGTCCAGCGAGTCAATCTCTGCGGAAGCGATCGCGTTGACAGCCGGCCAAGCGAGTGCCGAGTGGGTCATCGAGTGCACCGAAAGAGTCTTGTAGAGCATCGCGGTTAGTGCATCGTCGAGAGAGCGTGTTGAGCTCCGGAAACAACTGAACCGAGAGTCGGGAGCTGTGCTCGTGTGTCGTCGAGTGCATCGCGAGTTGTAGCGTGGAGAGTCTCGAGAGTACTGGAGTTCCGAGAACGACCAAGCAGAGTCGGGAGCTGTACTCCGGAAAACAGAGTCGGGTGCTTTGCAGGAAGCTTGTCTCCACCGTTATTGCCTGACAGTGTGAAGGCTGTGTCGCTGATTGTTCCAGCGTGTTTATAGTATTTCATAGACGACTGTGAAACGTGTTTTGGAGCTGTCCTGACAATACTGACTAATAAACTGTGTTTCGATACTTCATCAAGTGTCGTCGTTATTCACTCCAAATCTACGAACCCAGTACGAACGTGAAGGAAGAAAATAACGTAACAATATACTGACATGTTAAAATTAGTGCAATAGTAAATTTGATTTTCGGATACTGGCGTAGTAGTTCATTGTAAAACATGTACTAAATGCTGTTGCTACTTCCATACTAGTTGTCTCAATAATTTTCCGTTTTGGTGTGTTAATGCGTCTGATCCCAACGAACACGTCGTGTTTAATACTCGACTTGCTTTTGTCATTCACTTCACCAACAACTTCCTTTTTAGTAAATTACGATTTACTTTTACTGGTTAAATACAGGAGAAAATTATTGGCACAAATTATTATTATCTTGGTATGTTCTCTAAGTCATTGAGCAGATATAGTTATGTTATGCATAAGTATAGGAGCCACCTTATTGCTTACTCTAAGTAAGTGCATATTAGTCCCTGACATTACTTATGAGTATTCTTTGTCCTGTTTCATATTGTTAGCGGTGCTTACTGCTTTACACAATAATTGCACACGCATACATTGAATTTGCATTTAATTGCTTTGCTTCGCTGTTGTTGCTGAAGCATTTCCTTGCTTCAGCAACAGCATTTCAAACATTTCTTTGCGACTAATTTTCACTGTTTTGCTCAAGCATTTCTTTGCAACTAATTTTCACTGCAAAGCTCTTGACTTTCATGAAGTCAATTATCTTCTCAAATTTGTACTTTAAGTGCTTATTCTTGACTGCATATCTTAGGAATGGGAATAGATTCCCTTCTGAATTCGACTTCTTTAGATGAAATGATTCTGTTAACGGGAATGAAAATAGATAATGTTCAAGGTGATCCCTTTCTCTATATGCACTTTGCGCTGTGGGAGAGGGGTCGTACTCTGTGATAAACCAAGCGATCTGTCTGCTAACATGAATCGGAGAAGAGTCTACTTTGGGGAAAGAGATTGTAAACTCTTCTCTCAGTTTCAGCAGCGTCCCATCATTTCTGCCAAGATTATTTTGTTGTACAATCATGTCCATAAATTAACGATAATTCGGAGTAACGCGGAAATCGAACTCTAAAATAAATATATCACCTGTAAAATCACTACACACATCTTCAAGAATCATATGCAGATTTCAGGAAGTAACCAGATGACACTGATGGTACGTCACAATGACGATAGTGTAAGAGAGTGATATATAAGGAATACAGGCAAAGAAGTAAAATTGTTCGCAGCCGCTTTATAAGCATTTCAGTGCAATAACCGAATAGTTATGACACAAAGGACGCATTTGGATGATTTTTTACGTGGTAGAATTATCGGCCGTCTGGAATGTGGGCGTACCCAACTGGAAGAATCAGACGAGCTTGGAATTGCCCAGAGTGTCATTTCCAGGCTTTGGCGACGATTCCAAGATGATGGTGATGTGAGTAGACGTTACAGCACAGGTCGCCCCAGAGTTACAATGCCGATTGAGGACCGGTATTTGGCAGTTACTGCCAAAAGAAACAGGCAGAGCACAGTCTCAGACCTGTCTCGTTAGCTCTCTTCAGCCACTGGTACGACAATTTCAAGGCAGACCGTGTACAGACGCTTAGGGCAGATTGGTCTATATGCTCGTAGACCTGTCAGATGCGTTCCACTTACAGCAACTCACTGTCGCCTGCGGTTAGCCTGGAGCAGAGAGCATGCATTATGGACACCGCAACAGTGGGCTTGTGTGATGTTTTCCGACGAGTCCAGGTTTATCTTGCAGTCTGATTCTCGCCGGACTTTCACATGGAGAGCTCCAGGTCCCGTTACCACCAAGAAAACATCATTGAACGACACCGTTACGGTGGTGCAGGAGTGCTCGTTTGGGGTGGAATTATTCTGGGTTCCAAACTGACCTTCATGTTTAAATTGGACCCATGACAAGCCAAATCTATCGGGACGTCATTCTGGAACAACATGTATGTTTGTTTCGGGGCGCCATGGGCGCACAATTTGTGTTTATGGATGACAATGCCCATCCCCACCGTGCAAACATCGTAAGCGAATGCCTTCAATCGGAGGATACCACCCGTATGGACTGGCCAGCATTCTCACCGGACTTGAATCCAGTAGAGCACGTGTGGGACATGGTTGGCCGACGAGTTGCAGCCCGTCAACCTCCTTCTCCATATCTACCGGAACTTCGGAGAGCATTGCCTTTTGAGTGGTATTAATATCCCCCAAGATCAGATCGATAATTTGATACTCAGCATGCCTAGGCGTTGTACGGACTGTATTGCATCGTCTGGGAGACATACAATGTATTAAGAATCATACCAACCATGCAATATTGGTTTTTTGTAAATAGGTTTTTTTTGTAATTTGCTCCAGGGAGAAAAAATCGTTAATTTTTTTAATAATATGAAACATATAGCATCGTTTTTTGCTCTTTACCTTTTGTTTAATAAATAAGCTTTACAAATAAGTCAAATTTGTTTTGCTTCCAACTCTTCCTTTGCCTGATTTTGCATTATTCTTAATTTAGGGACATGAGTGTATTTTGCAGCTTTAACTTCAGGTGCGAAGCTAGCCAGATAATGCTTATTTTCACGGTGCTTTTTCCCTTTTCTACCGCCTGGCAAATAAGTCAACGTCTCATTTCCCTTTTAACTAACATGGGCTTTAATCCAAATTATAAAGAAAGGTTGGCCTTGGAAAAATAGCGGAGAATTTCCTGAGCTAATGGTGCCTTATTACTTGTGTTCGAGACTGCATGTATTCGCGCGCATTTCATTATGATTGGATAAATATCTACTAAGATGGTTTTATATGCGTGAAAATAAAGATTGGGACTTCTTCAAAATTCATTGTTGTTAGCGCCATCTTTTCGTCTTTCCACTAAGCCATCTAAGACTGCAAGCTGTTATAGTATCCGATTCCTCTTACGCATTAAATTATAACTCGTAAAATTACACGTTGAATTATTTTGTCACAAGTCAAAAGTTGCGAGAAAACGTTCGCCTAAACTGTACTTGAGAACTTGTAGAATCCAAAATCGAAACCCAAAAACGGCGAAAGTAAATTTGTCAGATAGAATAAAATCAAAGTACTATAGAAAACAAAAATTGACTATTACTGGTTCCATTAACAAGAATGAGCAAAGCTAGTTTAAATTACAAAATTATGTTTCTGACAATCAATAAACATATCGGAAGTATATAATTCTTATTTTTTTACATTTTAGAAAAATTTTCGCTTTAAGCAATATTAGGAAAGATAGATAGATTTGGACGTTTTTTGCTTCTTTTTTGAAATAAAATAACAGCTTTCCTTCGTTTAAAGAAAAAATGTCTTTTATTTTGTAATAAAGCAGCATGTATATTTTAATATTTATTTCACTAAATTATATGATTTAATCAGCTAATTTTGTTTGTTTCTTTTTCTTTTTTTAAACCTTTGCGGCTACTGTTAAATTCTTTGCGATTTTATTATGTAAAAAATGCATAACAAGTAAATATTCTCCGTTGTCCATATTAGTTATAATAAATTTAAAATAAAAATAAAGATTTTTTTCGGAGTATTTAGTCTTAGAATTTCTAGAATTTAAACAAAATTCACATATTATCTCTTCCTAATTCGGTTAATTCAATAATCACAGCATAGAATACCGCAGAAATAGCTTAAAACCTTACAAAAGAAAGATTTTATGATAATTTGAGCCATGTTTATTTCTTTTGCTTTTTTGTTACTTAATGGGTTTTAACATTTTTATGGCTTCTCTATTAACCACAACGGTTAGGTTAAATTATGGCCAATGTGCTAAAATAACACTATGCACAAAAATGAACTTAAAAATTGTCAGGCAGAGACTGTCAATTGACAAATTGTTTTAACACTTTTAATTTTGAATTTGTCATTTTTAATTAAAAAAGGTCCAACATTATTTTAAATTTACATTATAATATCTTACCATATCTAGCAGAAAATCCATCAATAACGTTGAGCAGCGATCCTAAAAGTTCCTTGGCCTTAAAATAGGGTATCTGAACATTTTCATGTGAAAGTTTATGTCTGCGGATAAAATATAATATAAATATTTATACTGCAAAACTAATGTTTGTATTCATGTTGTTATGGAAAGCAAGTTTATGAATACATTAGAATTAAAATTAAGTACAACTTCTTAAAATTTTTTACTGTTATCATTTGAACATACATGTTCTCATTAAAATATTTATAGTTATATAGCAACATTATCCAAACTGTTTTTAATAACTGAACAGAATTCTTAAATGATATTTTTGTCTAACAAGTATGTAATACATTTATCTAATTATATAAATTAAAGGTAAATTAAAAAAATGTATTGCATTTTGAAAACTTCAGCTTACAATCTAATATTTCAAAGAAGAGTTTAACACAGCCTTCAAACGTTTAAAACTATAAAGAACAGAAAACATGTGGAAAATTATTCAGATATTTTGCCAGCTCATAAAACTGTTGAGTAACATCAAAACCCATTGCAAAAAGAATTTCAATTTTGAAAGCTGTGTGTATTTTTTTTGTACTTTTTTGAATGCACAATGACATTGACAAAAAATATTTAAAAAAAAAAAAAGATTATTTATTACCTTTCGAACAAAGTTAAAAGTAGAATTATTTATAAGAAAAGCTTCCAATCTGTTTGTTACTACAAAATTCTATCAAAACTATTCCATTCGTAGAAGACAGCGGACACAAGAAGTAAATTAAAGATTTTACAAAGCTTTAGAAATTAATTTTATTTATGACACGATATAAAATAATATTTGTAATAAAATATTATTAAAAAATCCAGGTAAAATTACTTAAACTATCAGCTTACTCTGTAGTGAACTATGCACTGTTATAATATTAGTGATAAATAAAAAACCTTACGCATCGCGGTTGGCAACAGCGTATATTCATTGGCGACACAACGCTTCAGAGAGTTTTTCTTTGAGAAGTTTAATAATGTTTATCAAGCAGTTCTGATGTACGAAAAATTATTGATGTACGAAACGCTCATGTTAAGATTTTTTTTTTTTTTTTCATTATTGGCAGCAGGCTTTTAACATTAAAAAAAATCTTACATGGACACCACATAACTTCCTTGTACGGCTTGTTAAATTATGCACACTTTTTACTGCACTTCATTTAAACTTATTTCCTCGAATTATTCTATTAAGCAAATTGATATGACATCAAAAATTGCAAATTTTGAAATTAAATAGATATCTTGTCAATTTTTGTCGTCTGGCAGTTAAACGTGTTGTATTTTTTTTTTTTTTTTTCATAACGAGTATAAATCTTGATCAAATATAAATATAGGAACCAAACACAGCCTTAAAGTTAAATTTCGTTACTTGTTCAAAATACTTTTTTACTTCCTTGTACGAAGTAAAAAGGAAGTATTGTAATCGCGAAAAGTTTCAGGCAGCCTATTTCAACGAAAATATCCATTTTGACTGCTATCGAATGCAATTTAACGATGTTTTTGCGTGATATCTGTACGTAAGAACAGAATAAAAGACTCGTTTCCTCCAAAAAAATTATAAAACTGCTTTAAAATTAATTCTGAAGAGAATTCTTCGTGGCGTCTGTACGAACGCATGTACGAACGTATCTCGCATAACTCAAAAACGAGTAGCCTCAGAACGTTGAAATTTTGTATATAGGACTCTATAATATGCAGATGTGCACCTCGTATTTTGGTTGCAATCGGCCGTACCAAACGTGTATAAATATATTTATATATATAACCACTCTGTTACCCGGCTCAGTGATCTCAGTTTCTTTACTCTTATATGTTTGTAAATTGCGCATTTTTTGCCTTAAAAATGATTGAATTATTTTGTTTTTATCTTCCGGTTAAGGTTTTTATGCCTTTAGTAAATCCGCAAGCAATATTTGTACAATTAATAACAATTTAAAAGCTGTTTAAGTGCGGTTAAGCCTTAAGTTTTAAATAGCATGGCGGACATATTTGTTTACATGTGTAACAGCAGAATAGTATATTTGTTGCCAATCTAGGTTAGGTTAGGTTAGGTTATTTAATTACGGCAAAGCCTAGAAGGCTATCTGCCTAAGGGAAAGGATGCCTTCGTGGAGGACTTTCTAAGGGAAACTGGCTCGTATACACGTTACACATGGGGAAAACCACGAAAACACCCATGCAGCTAGCCCGTTCGCGGGATTCGAACCTCGGACCGAACTGCCAGTGTTCAGCGACTTTACCGCTCGACCGCTGTCGGACCCCTGTTGCCAATCTAGAGTACTAAGCTTTGCAACAACAAAGATAATGCCTTCATTTATTATTGCAAATTAAATCATGCTTAATCGTTTCTGGATTTTTTTTTTTTTTTTTTTTTTTTTTTTTTTTTTTTTGAGGAAATAAATGTTTAAGATTTACTTCGTAATTTTTAATACAGATATTTTGAGTTTTTATGTATTTTTGCCTTGTCGCGAAGTGAGAACTGAATTAATTGAATGAGAAATACTCAATCGTCTGTGAAAAACTGTTTTTTTTTTTTTTGTTTTGTTTGCTTAATTTATTTTATACATCGTTCTAGATTTATTATAGTATTTGAATAGAACATGTGGCAACGATTTGATAATTCTTAAAATTATATACATTTTGTGCATTCTGAGTTATAATATGAACGAAATATAACGCTGTTAAGTGAACCTAGCGCCAGAGTGTCGCTATGGTAAACAAATATAGTGAATTTTAAAGAGTGCATTTATTCTATTGTGGTTTATGCGCTGTCGGCGAAGTAGATTTAGTTCGATCCAATAAGTTTAAACGAAATGCAAGAAAAAATGCGTATAATTTTATATATCGTACAAGGAAGTCATGTAGTGTACAGATCAGATTTTTAATTTTGTGAACTGGTTATTAAAACTGAGTTGTAATGTATTTATTCATGGGGTTAGCAATATTTAGTTAGCAGCCTTCTATCATTTTCTAAGCAAAGAATATGTTTCTAAATTACATGAAACCACCTCTTCCGACTAGCCCGAATACAAGGAAAAGAATGGCGACAACCAAACATGTATTATTTTTACCCCTTTTGCTGCCTCTGTCTTCTGAGGTAATTGGTTCTTACAACAGAATCAGATAGAGATCGCAAGGATTCACAGCCTTTATCCGAAAGATTTCGCGGGCCTTTAAGTTCGTCGTTGTCCATCCAAAGCTTGCAAATATTTGGAGAAGACAGATTCAGCCAAAGTCTGTCTGTCTGTTTGGGATCCAGGTCGCAGTCTTCATCTAAATACGGCTGAGGAATGGATAGCAATTCCACTTTGGAGAAAGGCTCTTTGCGTAACTGGAAAGAGAAGATAAACTTTAGAAATAAGTTAATATCCTTACTTTAATAAATTTGAAAATCATTTTACTTTGGTAAACATAAAATTGTAAAATCGTTAATAAAAGATATAAGCATCTTGGATTTAATGGCTATGTTCCACAAGTTTTATAATTTAACGGTGCTCCTCAATACTTTTTTACCATTAGACTTAATTATTTAATTATTATTCTGTTTCGAGAAACTTTTGTAATTTCGATTTATCATTCTTTGTATTCTGTTACTTACATTCGTTATGTTACGTTACCATGGTGTATATTATCCCCGTAACCTGACATTAATTGGCATTCCACCCATGCAGCCCGACAAACTGCTATTTCTGCCATTATTGTCGTTCTATGGAGCATTATACATTTATCATACATTCTACATTTAAAATCATGCATTATTTAACAAAGGAAATGGTTTAAAGTAATATACACGTTTTCATAATATCTCTGTTTTATTTTTAGTAATATTTTGAAAGAAACTGACAATATATCTAACTCTTTTAATTTAAAATATAGTGGAACTTTGAACTGCAGGGATTTATAAAGCACAGCTGCGTTTTAGAGACCTTTTTTTTTTTTTTTTTTTTTTTTTTTTGTTTTGTTGATTAAATATGTAAGAAAATATTTTGGAAATTCAGCGTGATTTGAATAAATTAATAAGCGAAACTAGTAACTTAGTCCTTAAGATTTTATGTATGATATTAATGCCTGGAGTTCATATACATCCTTAACTTTAACTCTCTATTAAAAAATAAATACAGGGTGTTTAAAAAGTCCCGGACCCATTTTGATGTTTAATAACTCATAAAATAATAAAGATAGATTAAAATTAATAACATAAATGGTTAGATAGACTCAAAAAGTTTCGTGACCCTTGTCAATGAACTTCCACGTGTGCCCCCTTCGTCGCACGGAGAATATCAAGTCGATATTCAATTTCACGCCAGGTACCGGCAAGCATGTCGGCATCCACAGAGGCTATTGAAGTTTTAATTCTGGCTTTTAGGTCATCCATGTTCGACACTGTCCTCCTGTAAACGTTGTCTCTTACAAAGCGGCGTTATATCAGGTGATCTGGGTGGCCAAGGAATTGGACCTCCTCGCCCAATCCATCTTCCTGTAAAATGGTCATTCAAAGAACTACGAACGATGGTACCCCAATGAAGGTGGTGCACCATCTTGTACAAAAAGACATGTAGCTGAAACTATTCTAGTTGTGGAAATACGAAGTTTTCCAACATGTGTAAGCATACGACTGATGAGACCGTCTTTTCTGTAAAAAAGAAAGGCCCAGTGGCTCGGCCGTGCTGAGCCCACACCACACATTAACCTTTGGAAAAGGCCTTTGTGCCTCACGGTGTTCATGGGGGGTTTTCAGATTCCCATATGCGCACATTATGGGGATTAACAATGCCGGAAAGATGCCAAAAACAAAAAAGAGAAAAATGCAATTAATAAGCAGACGATATTTAGAAAAGTACAGATATTTAGACTGGAAAATGAAATTATCTGAAATTAAACACACGCGCAGACGATATTTACAAAAGTAAAGATATTCAAACCTGGAAAGGAAAATATATAAGTAATTTCATCAATAAATGCCGTAAGTTGTTTATATCTTCAATTATTATTTTATGAGTTATTAAACATCAAAATGGGACCGGGACTTTATAAACACCTTGTATAAACAGATAGAATTAGTAAAAATGTTAGTGTTAACAAATTTGCAGTTCTTTAACCCAGTTAAGCGGATCTCTTTTTATTTTCCATCATGTTTAGATCGATAAATAGGTGGAGTGAAAAAATTCAGTTATGTTTTCTCAGTCTGGTTCAGTTCATTTGTGTAATAAAAGTTTTCTAATTTGACGGCGAGTAGCTGGTATATACACGGCGATATATGGCCCCTCAACATAACTTTCAAGGTCTTGGCTAAGCAAGTTTTTTAGAATCCACGTTTTTCATAGACTTTTGATCTCAAAGAACCAGTGTTTCACTACACGAGTATTCCATGTAACGTTTATTATCTGCTATTTTAAACAACACAATCGTAATATCCGGAGCTAATTCTTTTTTAATTATTTTTATATTAAAATGAATTAAAATTTAGTATCAACTTTTAGAGAGTTTTTGATTGTGTCTTAATAAGGCTGAAATGATAATGAGCAATACATGTTCCCCACTACTACTACTACTCGCCGCTGAGGGAGGCTCTCGACCGCATATTTCACAAGTGCCCATCAGCGTAGCCACCATGGAGGTAGGAAAGGGAGGAGGGGCCATTCCGCGCTAGAAGTGAAGCACTGCTTTGAAGCTTGGGTCACCAGACGGGGTGTTGTTTGTTTACATTCAGAAGCTCGCTTGACAAGATTCTGATAGTATTTCGACACACGACAGTTCCATACAAATCGAAAAAGGGACACTCTCGCATGAAAGAAACATTCATAGTGTGATGGATAATAGCAATTTGTATAGTTTACTGACATTTACGCGCAAAAATCACATCTTGGTTATTTTTCGATAACTAACAACAGCGATTTTGATTATGAATTTGTTTTATAAAATTCTAAGCTGTTGCACTACAAAATATAGATTTTAAGAAAATTGCTAAAAGAGATCTGCCAAAATTTATTTTCTTTCTAGAAGATTTTGAAAAGTTTGAAACTTGATGGCTAAATGTAAATATAAAATTATGTATGTTAAAATATTTGTAATTAGGCCACATAGGTCAGATTAAGTTTTTATTAAATAGAGTAAACGCATGCAAGGGCTATCTGCCTAAAGAGAGAGATGCCATCGTGGAAGAATTTTGAAGAAAAACTGACCTTTGAGTAGGTATTAAAAATAATACTTATAATTTTCATTCAAATTATATTCATATATATTTTTATGTAAAACTTTCGGGTGTATGCTAAATTAGTGTAAATTACTTTACACGAAAAATATAGTGAATGACAGAAATTAAAGATTTGCACATGCCGGAAATGATAAATAGGAAATATGTATGGGTATTTTATGCATGTGCTTGCAAAAGCATGTATCTGCCTTTGAAAAATACTTAAATATTCATTAAATTATTTATAAATGTATTTGAAATGAAGAATTTTTATTCACTTATAAACAACTGTGAAAGTACTGTGAAGAAATCTAATGATTAAATGTATCTAATTTATAATGATTATAAATGATATCTAAATATATATAACCTTAATATTAAAATGTAAACATAAATTGAAATCCTGTTGAACAAATACGTTATAAAACTATTTAAGCAAGAATTGTTCGTATTGGAAAGCAATCTGTTAAAGGTATTGTAAAGCAAATGATATGAGATGCGCACTTAAGAAACGTAATAAAGAAGAGTTTTGGAATATGTATTGTTGAAATGAAGGGTAAAAAAAAAAAAAAAAAAAAAATCTGATAAGTATAATTAAAAGAATTATTCCCTTTACATTTATAATAACTCAGTTACAAGTTTTAAATAATTCTTAAAAAAAAAAAAAACTTATTTTATTCCCTTTCAGAAATGTTCAGAGAAAGTCAAATACTATTTAATACCTATTAATTATTAGGAATTAGCGAAATACTTATTTAAAGTATTTCGCTAATTCCTAATAAATCTCTAATTTAAATTGAACCGAATAGAGCATTAATTATAAATTGACTTACATTTTTCGATTTAAAAGAAGCCAAAAAATCATGTCATATTTAAGAAAGTATTTAGGAAGAAGCTCTATAAATAGAAAAGAAATAATGCATAATTTTAATATTAATAATACAATAAACTTTGATCTTAATTTTTGTACCTTAACCGAATAAAATCGAATTACCTTAATTTTTTTTTTCTAATGTAATTAACGAAAACTTGTGAAAATATTTCATTCAAATTAAACCATTCTGAGAAAACTGTCCTGTGAAAAGTATAGCATTTAATTCCGTTCAGAATGAAATGTTGTTTAAAAATATGTTGTTTTCACATACTTAGGACTCTGAAGTGTTGTAGAAAAAGAAAATATATACATTTATATGTATATTTGCGACGTAATTACAAAATATTTACACCCGAACGCGTCAAATCCCACAGAACTCAATGGTAAATGACCCAATGTTTTGGTCACCACGTAGGGATCGCCGGTGCTTCAGAGCAGGGTACGGAGAAACTTGTTTAGGGCGACTCCATCTTACTTTCTACCTCTATGGTAGCCACTGAGAGAGGGGTTTCGAAAATGGACCAATGAGCTTCTATTGCTCTTGTGACGCTAAATCTTCATGCATGGGAGCGTATGTCGTTTACGTTTTAATTTGCATTTGTTTCGCGGTAAAAAATGTATGGAGTAGTAGAAGAAAATTTCGTAGTGCATTTGTTTCATGAGTTTAATTAATCGCTGACATTTCACTTTCGCGATTTTATCACGCATTAATATTTGGATTCATGTTCACGACATATTATCACTCTTTACATCGAGAAAATGACTCAAGCTATAATTAGCTTCGAATATTATGCATTTACTTAACACCTGTGGATTAAGGAAGTGTATAGTTTTTCTTTAAATAATTTTTCATATAGACTGCAATAAAAAGTGCTGACTTCTATTTACTTCTATTACATGTCAATATTTTTCTCATATGCATAGTTTTATATAAAGATAGCATTTGGGCTCAGATGTTTATCACATATTTCTTTCTTCATCTTATTTACCACTTATTAAGTAATATTTCACATCGATATTTTTGTGGAGTATCCAAAATGTGTTTGTATTTATTTTAAATTCTTTCAACCAGGTAGTGAAATCTTCACATTTGCTTATATTTGATCTAACCTCGCAATAAAAATTTTCAGAAGAAATCGACGATACTTTATTGCGTGGCAAAATATTTTACCATTTTGCTTAAGCGAAAGGTCATGTGACATGACAGAAATATTACTGGATGCCCATTGGTCCATCCTAGAAGCCACACCCTCGGTGGCTACAC